AAGGAGTCGACAACGATACGTCACTGACAGGGCTCAGGTGTGGAACAAAGACTAACATAGATCATAGCACGCCACTCTATTACGGCGGATGAAAAAGTATCAGCACACAGCAGGGGCGCTATCCGGTGATGGTATACGCTCGTCGAGGGTGGAACGAAATGCTAGTGTAGGCCACTTGTTTAAATAAAAAAAAACTGTTTTCCTACACGCCAAAGTTTTTTATTTAATATTTTTACACAGTATTCTATTCTTAACTTATTTAGTTTACAATGCACTTTTAAGTTTGTGCCTACATGTAATATTGCACAATGATTATTCATAATTCCAAAGCGAACTTTGCACCGTTCCCCAATTTGCAAGTGACCTAAATTAATCAACGTAACTTGAATGTTTTATCTTATACTCACTCGCGATACAACCTCTGTGCTAGGCAGTCTATTCAATATACAAGTTTACATTTTATATCTTGAATTATTCTCGTTATTTTACCACCTTCACAAACCACATCCAGTCTTCTTAACAATATCAGCCAAAAATTATTTGAAGGTCCACTTGACTCGCGACTCGCAATACACTTGGTTCAGAGTTTTATTATGATATGCTCAGATGATAAATTCAACTAGTTCATTTTACTGGCCAGACCGGAGGGCAGAAACCAGGTGGTCTACCATGAAATGAAAATTCGAATTTTCGGGCACAATTTCGTGTTTTTGTTCCCACCGAAATCGACCAAGGAGATGAAGAACATTTCGTTCATCATAAATCCTATCCTAATAGTTCAGAGAAACAATATTTTAACATTTTTAATAATTTTAAACGGCATGTATTATGTATTTTTAACATCAAATTTCTGTTTCGTTCGTCCCCGAAATTTCGGAAAATATTTCATGGTAGGCCCCCAGATCCGTAGCTGAGCAGTTTGGCTAGCTAAATTACAACTTTCTAATTAAAGGTTTGTATGGGTTTATATAGACATAATACTGCCGATTTAAATTGAAATAAATAATATTGTTTTTCAGCAATAATATGTCTACATACTAGGGCTGTAACAGAACGTTTAATACTAGCTTTTACTCGCGTCTTTACTCGCGAATCGCATATCGACGTTCAATTACTAAAATTTCCAATCTACGAGTAACATGGACAAAATTTAAATTCATTCCTGAATATGATGTACTTTTGGAAAAAAAAAAATTGATTGATACCCTTAGAGATATTACACAACGCCCTCTAGTCCCAAACAAAATGAAGCTGCTGAAAACTGATAAATTATATACAAATACTTTTTTTTTTCATAAATACCTATATGTATGTATTTATGAATAAAAAGATTACGGTTCACAAAAAACCGCCTTCAATTTTGGCAAAATTAGTTATTCCAATTTAAAATTAAATTACTGAACCGATTTCGATAAAACTTCTATGGGACCAATCTGTTATTATAACCTTTTAGATAAAAAAAAATCCGAATCGGTTTACAGTTAATAGAGTTATGAGGTAACGAACATTTAAAAGGCCGGAAATGCACAAGCAACTCTTCTCGTAGTGCAGGGATTCATGGGCGACGGTGGCAGCTTTCCATTAGGTGGCCTGTCTGTTTGTTTGCTTCTCTAACAATAAAAAAAAAACTACAACCAAAATGAGATACTTCTTGGATATAAATAATGAGTAGGAATAATATTTATATTAGTATATGTATCACATCTCCCATATTTAGAACTAACAAAATTTTTCATCGTGTCTCCCACCAAATTGTTTATAATTACTCCTCTCCATCCAAAGGTTGCCTGGAAGAGATCGCTCTTAGCGATAAGGTCGCCCGTCGTTTTCTCATTGTGATTATTTCTTGTAATTGTTTATATTTATTGTATATTCTTTATTGCACTTGTAAGTTACATATAAAATAATGTATTTATAAACGTTGTGAGCAAGGGTGGACTTATCTCTGACAGAGATCTCTTCCAGTCAACCGTAAGTACAGTAAGAAAGCATTTCGTTAGCGGGCAGCTGAAGTGCTACAACTATTAATACATAAACAAATATACAGTTAAATAAAATATTAAAATATATAATAAAATATTACATAAATACATACACTATAAATACATATAATACCTACCTACTTATATAATAAGTTTACTATTGTAATCTTTTAGAGGAAACAATAAAGAGTATCTATTTATCTATCTTCTTTTTGAAATCAGTTGAAAAAATTATATATAACAAATTTTTTTTCATACATACATACATACATATCTCTCACGCCTATCTCCCATTAGAGTAGGTAGAAACAATGGAACGCCAAATGCTTCGATTCAAACAAACCTCTTTCGCTTCTTCCACATTCATCAATCTTTTCGTACACGCTCGCCGGTTACGGGTACTTTTAATTTGGCCCTTCATCAGCACGTCGCCTATTTGGTCAACATACGTTCGTCTAGGGCGGCCCCTACCGACATCAAATTTTTTTTCGTCATAAGTATTCTCTTGTGAAGCTACGAGTATATTGATCCTTACTTGACCACTGGCTCAAATAAAAAAAAGACATCCGTAGCAAACTTCAGATGTAATTTGGCCAGTTTTTCACCTTATCCGTCAATGTCGACCGCTGAAAGGGGATACCGCTCATGGTTGAATTACTCATCAATTTATACGGATATATTTCAGCTCAGCCAGTTAACGGTAATTGATGTTTATTGTTCGCGAGTTAAGATACAATTTCATCTGTTTCAACACCTTCGCCGCCATCTTTATTCATTATTACTAACAACCAGCACCGGGCTCACATGTTTTTTTCTATATATATTTGTGTACATAACGATAGTCGATTCCAACACCAATTAGTATTTCTTTAGACCTTAAGAATTTCTTCTAGTCAGGACGACTAATTCAAGTATTCTATTAAATTAACTCTATTCTGTATTCTTTATTTATTTAAATGAAATTTAGTATACGAGAAGGCTATGTATATCCTAATTAACACATGGTATATTTTATTTTATTTCATTTTATTTCAATACGTACACATTACAGAGAATTAACATGGTTACATTAATTTATACAGTACAATAATATTTTGTTCAAGCTAACCCTCCAAATATATGCGTACACAGCATGATCAAAACACAGACACACAGCTAAACAAGTCTGTAAACACAATATAATTTATACAACAAAAAAAATATTTAACTTATATATTAACAGCTATAAAGGTAAATTTACATACTTTATATACTGATGCACGTCTTAAGTAATGAATTATTATTTATAATATTTAATATATATATATATATATATATATATAATATGATATGTGGGGTACTACGTAATACTAACTTTACATGTATATGATATATATTCTTTAGCAATATAAAGGTTGTAAGCCTCTTATTGATAAATAGAAATGAAGCACAAGTACATACAATTAATTTAATTTATATATCATACTATTAATTCATATATTTACTTATTTTACTTTGTAGTTGATATATAACAAATAATATAACATAAATACCCAACTTCTGTTAATCCATTCACATTTATTTAATTATAGCTTCTTTAGGACTTCCATCAACAATAATTGATATATATTTTATATAATGACCACGTGGTTCACTATACTTGTTCACTCTTGATACGGCAGGGAGCTCCGCTCTGTTCAACGGTTGGACAAGAAGTGCCTCCCCACCCAAATAACAATCTTTTATATCTACAGGGCCGAATTCGAGTGAACAAGTCGGCGAGACCACGTGTTCTTACAATTTCATCACTTTTTATTTAACTATCATGATAATAAATTATTATAAAATCAATTAAAATATAAATTAATGTTTTATATACATTACAAGAATAATTCATTACAAAATTTAGTATAATAACAATTTTAATATTTTATTATATTTAAAGTAGTTAGTCTGATTTTTATTAATAAATATAATAATTATAACATTTTGACACAAAATGTTTAAGAAAATTGATATAATTTAAAATAAATATCTAACACACGCAGGCAAAGCCGCTAGTAACAGTTTGTATTTACAATATTAGTAATGATTATCATAATTCACGTTTTTGGTATATAGTAGTTTGCCATATAGCCCTAGCATAGAATGGGCCACTCCTTCCTTTCCCGTGAATGTCGTAACAGGTGTCTAAGGAAAATTAATGGTCGAGGGATAGGCATGCAGCATCCCTCTTAAAACATCATCAGAGCTTAACTGCGGTTGTCAATCCGCCTGTCAAGTACGGCAACTACTGGCGAACCCCCTAATGGAGGAAGCCCTATGTTCAGCTGTGAATAGTTAATGACTGATATAATGTGGTAGTTTTTTTTTTTGACGGGTGAAAATGGTATGGTAACCCCGCCTGCGCTAACGGAGTTATTTAACGGAGTTAGTTAACCAGAGGGAGACTTTGTACGAAAGTCGATTGCGTGGGTACCTCTGTCCCATTCGTGTTTCAACCGTGAAGCAGTTGTGTTTGCATGGCTGTGTTTCGGTTTGAAGGGTGGGATATGGCGTGAATTTACTGGGTACAGAGGAATAACACCTGAGTCCTCAGGAATGGCAACGCATGGGGGGTATCATGGGCGAAACAGTATACTCTGTTATGTCCATGGTACTGCTCATGTCTATAGGCGACGGTTACCACTTTCCATCAGGTGGGCCGTCAGCTTGTTTGCCATTCTAAGTTGTATAAAATAAAAAAAAAACGGGATACGCTGGCGGAGCACCAGTGAAGGGTGATAGATGAGAATGAAAACAGGCCAGTTAGCCCATCATGATCAATTCATCAGGAATTAACCATGATAGTTTCCAGGGAGAACCGCGAGGAGGTCGACCTGGTTGGGTATATTGCTAACAATGGGATTCTCAGTCTCCATTACTAACAATCCCTTTTCCCCCAATGTGGTAGTTTACAATAGTGCTTTTTTTAATCTTGGGATATCCGCAATCAAGCAAGTAAATATTACAGTCTTATATTTACTTTCTTTGTTTCAGCTCAAACGACGACACCGAACGCAACCACTTTTCAACATGTCCTGTCACTAACGGTAACACGGGCGGAGCTGGGAGGCGAGTTGAAGTGTATAGTTTCCTCAGCGGCCCTGGACGAGCCCATTGTACGGAAGGTGTCGTTGGATGTAGAAGGTTAGTTGCAATGAAATTAATTTATTCCATGAAGTCAATTCAAAATGTATCCCTTCAAAGATAATGTCCGTGATGCAGTGGTGGGCACGTTGCTTTGCGTAAATGAGGTCTCGAGTTCAAATCCTGATCAGGCCAATTTGAGAAACTTTACCGAATCGGCTCAGGTCTGAGTCTTCTGGATTATTCAACCCAGATGGATTTCATCCTGTGGTGGACACGCTGCTTTGCACAAATAGAATCTCGGGTTTAAATCCCGGTCGAGCCAATTTGAGAATCTTTTTCGAATTAACTCAATGTGTGAAGAAACTAAGAAACAAAGGACTAAGGTTTAAACTTGAGTATTTGACATTGATACCTCCTTTGAGCTTGATACCTCCACATGATCCTAAGTGTCTTGACAAAAAGAATCTAATAGTCGGATATATATTTTGTCCCGAAAATTTCCAAATATTTTTTATGATAAAGTAAGGTGCTAACATAAACAATGTTATACTATTAAAATATTCTTTATGGTTATATCTTCTTTCGTATTCAACTGTTACTGGTTAACATAACAATACCCATGTACTCATTTGTAAATTACCTAAAAATCGCTAACAGCCTAAATGTATTCTTGCTTTTTATTCTACACAAAAAAAAAGCTATTCGTGCATTTGCATTTGCAGCAACGCTCCATGTCAGTAAAATGCGAGATAAGAAATGGCTTGTCGTTTTTGCCTCATGCTTCTTTCGATTTCAATCTTTGTAAAGACTATCTGCTATCGGTAAATACTGGCCAGGCACCAATTAGAGATAATAGGTAAGGATAAAAGCAAGTCCATTGGCTCATCGTTAAGAACTCTACAAGAATTAACCACAATGGTTTCCACGGAGAACCACGTGGAAGTTGACCTGGTATTGCTAGCAAATATAGCTGTTAGACCCAATAGGCCAGGAGATCCTAAACTTTTAAGAAAACGTAACGCCCACCGAATACCTTTTATTTTATCGAACCCCACTGTAATTGAAATAAAAACAAAAGCTTTTATTAGAAATATTTTAAAAGTTAACCACTTTAAAGTTTCCTTTAATTGTTAATGTGAAGAATGAAATTGTTTCACTGTATAAATGATTTCCCGTAAACCTAGTAACTTTTTTACGGAACCCCTAGTTTCCGAGGAACCCACTTTAGGAATCGCTGCTTTAGGCTATGCCGATTATAGTTCTCGTTAGATACTTATAAAAAAACGCGTTTTTTTAATGATTTTCCATGAATCGTCTTTCATAATATGTAAAGAAAAATTAATATTATGTAATAAATTTCCATAATATTATAATTTTTTACTATAAATGTGACATTGTTGTTTTTTTTTATATATTTTTTTTTCTTATATAATTGCAAAATTTGTATACCTCGATAGATGGGGTTGATCATAGAGGACTTATCTTGTTTTGCCATCCATTGTTATGTACTGTTACCTATGTATCACAATTTAAATAAATAAACAGAAGAGGTCTTAACAAAGGTTTCTTCAGTACAATGACCGTTTACCATCAGACGGGTTGTAAGTTTATTTGCCTCCTTTGTGGTATAAAAAATAACAAGAGTAGGGTGCAAATGATTATTAGTAATGGTTCTGTTACTATCAAAATACACCATGAGCCATGAGGTTTACCTCCGTGTGAGTCCAGCATAAAATCATCGTCGTTAATTCCCGGCTAAAGTCATGATTTTTTTTTTATATACAACTTAAAATGGCAAACAAGCTGACGGCCCACCTGATGGAAAGTTGTAACCGTCACCTATAGACATGAGCAGTACCATGGACATAACAGAGTACACTGTTTCGCCCATAACACCCCCCATGCGTTGCCATTCCTGAGGACTTAGATGTTATTCCTCTGTACACCGTAAATTCACGCCATATCCCACCCTTCAAACCGAAACACAGCCATGCAAACACAACTACTTCACGGTTGAAACACGAATGGGACAAAGGTACCTCTCTGAAAAATCTCTCTCTGGTCTGACTTCCTGATTTCGTCCTCACCTATCATCAGTCACTAGTGTTCTACCAACGTACACCGATATCGCAGACAGGGTTACCATTCCATTTTCATTCATCAATGGAATAAACATGTCCCGTACACGCGGACGACGTCCCGGACGTAACAAATTTCTAGATTATTCCAGAGGCAGCTCGCCCGCTAAATCGGGCTGACAACGACAGTTCCCATCTACATAAATGCAGTTTTTCTCCTCTTATCACATTTACAGAGCGCCGTTCTATAATTACGCCCATTAATTAAATAGTATCAGGGCAGTGCTTAATGAAAATTTATTCTCTTGCCAAATTAAACAGGAAAAAGTCGAGGAGTTAAGGGGAATCAAAATTAACGCTTAATTTAGAGTTCGGGGTGGAAATTTTATGGGGCGATTGGTAAAAAAATTTTTAAATCAAATCAACTGTTACTCGTGTCTTATAGATGGATAGATAGATAGATAATTTATTTACATTACTTACAGCACACAAATTACAATACAAACATACACATGATACACAATAAAAGAGATAAAAGAATGAAAATAAAAAAGCAACAAAACAAAATATATAAAACAACAATTTACTTTTTTCATGCGTGTGCCACAGTAACACAAAATGGTCACAACTCAGTTTATTGCTTCGCCTTCAAAAGAGCAAAACACTGATATTCTGTTGCGGCCAAGAGTCAGTCGCCAAATTCCTTATTAAAAATAACAATAAAAAGAAATATAAATAAAATGGCTTGTGTGTGTCCGTTTACATTCGCCTCCATTTGATATTATATTCTAAATAAATAAATAAATAACAGATACCATTAGATGAGGGGTAGTCAGAGGTTACTTTCTGTCACATTCATTTATTCAGGCAATAAATATTTCCGATTATATTAACTAGTCTTTACTGCCGGCTTTATTTATACTATGAGGAATCTATTACCTATTTTTTTAGTTAGTAAAAATACAGCACGAGTGTTTATTAGAGTACTAGCGACACGCCCCGGTTTCGCATGGGTGCACTTTACATCACATTAGAAACCTCTAAAATTATCAGTGTTTCTTTACAATATTATGCATGTATTATGCAAATAAACCTTCCTCTTGAATCACTCTATTTAATAAAAAACCCGCATTAAAATCCGTTGCGTTGTTTTAAAGATTTAAGCATACATAGGGACAGACAGGCAGGAAGCGACTTTGTTTTATACTATGTAATAATAATAATAATATATATATATATATATATATATATATATATATATATATATATATATATATATATAATGATGTTACTTAACAGTAACTATAGAAAAGTTTTCCGTCTACAGTATTAGCGTACTCTAAGAGAACAACCTTGCCGCGTGGTTTTACTAGTAGTTGCCACGCTTGGCAAGCGGATTGGCAACTGTAGTTAGGCTTTGGTGATGTTTAAAAACGAACGCTGCTGCCCATCTCTCGATAATCAATTCTCTTAGTCACCTCTTACGACACCTGCGAAAAAGGAAGGGGTGGCCCATTCTGTGCCGGAACCCAACTGCGAGTGCCAACCCGCCTCCTTTCAAAACAGCAGTGTTCAGCATTGGACAGTTATCAGAGTGATTATGATGAATAAATTAAATTTACCAACCGACTACACGATCCAACGGGATTCGAACCCATACTACCCTACTATCCGAACCGAGTGTAACCCAAGTTCAACCACGGAACGTATACTATCGGTTGACCGCTTAACATTTTAATATTTATACGTAAAACTTTAATTTAACGAATTAATATACAATTAATGTTTTAATCACAGACCCAACATCGTTCGTCCGACACCCTCTTGTCTTTTATAAATTAATTTAATCTGTTCAAAATTTCTTTCAGCTCAGAATACTTTGTTCTCAAGGATACTTTACTTACTTTACTTACATTTTCTTAAAATTACTCACCTTAACTTACTTAACTTAGACAAATAGGCGGCGAATTGAATAGGATAACTCGGACAGATTTCTTTTGCAGATTTTTAAAGTAACTTATTCTAATTCAGTTCATATTACCTATTTTAGATAAAATACTAAAAGCCTTAAGAATTTGGTTCACAAATCTGCTACAGTGTAATTGGGTAATGTACAAAAATAAAATAAATATTTTTTTATGTAACAAAGAAAATATTTATTTAAAAAATAGTACACATCAAATTTGCAATAGATTTTTTTTATACAACTTAGAATGGCAAACAAGCTGACGTCCCACCTGATGGAAAGTGGTAACCGTCGCCTATAGACATGAGTAGTACCATGCACATAACAGTTTCGCCCATGATACTCTTGTTATTTAAATGACATACAAATTGTTATATTTATCAAAATGCTAAGCGAATGAGTGTATGAAGTACATACATTCTAAACTGTGTACTATCTAAAGACTTAAGTCGGCTTGGATACTTCGTATAATAATCAATTTGCTGACGTTCAATATAAACATGGCCGACTAGTTAGTCTATTAATTGTCGCTTTACTGGATTGCACTGGAATCTTATTGGTTCTCCACAGAGAGGTATTTGGACACAATTTTATTTAATACTAATAATATAATATTTAAATATTTATTTTAATATTGTACACGTGACAGTAATTTTGGTTACCTCTCGATAACTCAATGGATCTAATAATTGTCAATATAATGAAAATCAAGTATATAAGTACTATTTACGTGTAATCACGTCACGTCAAGTCCCGATTAAACAACGTGAAAATTTGATAGAGTATACTGTTTCGCCCATGATACCCTTGATGCCATTCTTGAGGACTCAGGTGTTATTCCTCTGTACCCAGTAAATTCATGCCATATCCCACCCTTCAAACCGAAACACAGCCATGCAAACACAACTGCTTCACGGTTGAAACACGAATGGGACAGAAGTACCCAAGCAATCGACTTTTATACAAAGTCTGCCTCTGGTAAAATGATTATGTAAAATACTTATGATTATGTA